ACGTGCGACATATTGGTCCTTGGCCTCTTGTCGTTCTTCTGCAGAGTGTTTGGTTGACCAGCAACCTTCTTGTCCACAAACAAAGCACTTTTGGTCCAATTGCGATTGGTGTGGCTAGGGTGTAGTTGCTATGGCTTGAGGGCCTGTAGCTTCCACGGTTGTAGCCTTGTCCATATCCGCGATTGGGTCGTTGTCCTGAGTATCCGTATCTTCCTCGTACGCGGTTGTTATGGTATCGGCGATCGAGGTAGTACTGATTGTTCGGATTCGTTGGTCCAAATGATCCGTCAGGGCTTTGCAAGTACTGAGGGTTTGTCTGTCGGGCAAGGTGGGTCTCAACGGAAGATCGTAGATCTGCAAAGAGGGTCTCGATCTTTGCTGCAGGTTTGAAGAGGGCGTGTTCAAGTTCGGGTACACCACGGCATGCGATGATAAGCGTAGTACGCAGTGGAATGTTTCCTGCGTAGTCAGGGCCAAGGGCTCTCTGACAGAGTTGTAGCTTATCGAAGAGTAGTTGAAGGACTTCGTGGAGGGATTTGGAAGCATCTTGGGCACGAATCGAGTTGAAAGTGGTTGTGGTCCAATCTGTATAGTAATGGACATGGTTAACTTCCGTGTCAAAGTGTTGTTTGATGCTGTCGTATGCCTTCCTAAACGTGGTAGTCCATTCGATCTTGTCAATGTAGAACGTTTGTGCTCTTCCAGCGAGGATTCGGGGGAAAAGGGCGTGAAATTGTGACGGTTTCACTTGGATGTTGTAGCAGATACTCATGAAGATTCGAGTTTCTCATCGAGGAGGTCGTACGGCTCTCCTGTGTAGTTCTGGTCCTTATCCCAGAGCTTCATGAACATATATTGGGTATCTGCGTCAACAGTGGCATTCGGGGTATCATCCGGGGAAGTTTTGTATATGCGTCGAGATGCATATGCTCGGACGGAGGTTTAGGTGGGGGTTTGGGCGGATTGGACGAGTTCGGGGTGCTTGAAGCGGTGGGTTGTCGGATGGGCTGTACGAGAGTTCAAGTTAGGTGCATCTTGGGTCAGAGCGGAAGTCGTGGGAGGTGATGTTGTTATCGGTAGTGCCTCAGTGATGGGTTCCTGGGCAGGTGGCTTCGTTAAGGTCTTAATGGGCTGTTGTTCGTTAAGACTGTAACGGGTGTTGCTACTGGTGGCGATTGGGGTTCTCGGGAGAAGTTAGGCATTTGATCCTGTTGCTCGTAACTTATAAGCGGTCGTCCCAATGTCAAAATCCATCTCCATGTACTCTCGTTCTGGCCATGCAGGTCGGTCCTCCACAGTTTGCAACATGATGAATTGGGGTGCAAAAAGGCCATTTTTCCGTCCTGTATAGATGCCACGTCTCCTTAGAAGTAATCTAAGGGCTCTCTTGTAGTCCATATGTACCCGGTTCCATATGTCTTGGTTCCAGCCTTCGAAGTGTTGTTGGAAGTGGTCAGGATGTCGTCTCCTTCTAGGCGTTCGAATTGGGCATTGGACATGAACCTAGCGGCGTACGTCGTAACTGCGATCTCATCTTCCTCGTCAGGTTTGATGTCTTGTCCCCAAAGGGTAACATCAACTTTATCGAATACGGATGTCTGGATAGCTAGTCCTTGCATCCGTTCGCTCAATTGTTCGAGCTGAGCGCTCTCGTTCGGAGTCGTAGCTCGGTCGGTCGGGGTCATCGTTGATCAAGTGAATGAGACGATGGAGTCGTATCTGGCTGTCGAAATACGTCTTTGTCGGGTCTAGTAACAACTGTTGATCGATGCCTTGCAGCCGATAATAGAAGTCGCTAGGCGATGTGGTCGCACTACTAATCGATGCCTTGCAGCCGATTAATAGCTTGGTAGGTTCTCCCAGATGCCTGGCAGCCTGAGATAGCCACTTAGCACAAATAACCTTCCTCAACCGATGCCTTGCAGCCGATCTTGAAGGTTAGCGATTTGTCTCTTCTTCCTAGCTGTCTGTGATCGACCAAGTCGACCACTGATCAGTGTCGGTAGGTCTCTACACAGGCCTGCGTGCAAATCGCAATGGTATGTGTAATCGTTGATGTCTGTTCTAGAAAGGGGGAAGAGGGGGCAAAGGGCACGGAGCTAGCTATGTGTCCTCCGCTATCCTCAACTGCACACGTGAGAGCGCACGTGACCTATCTAGATGGGTACAATGGATTACTACAATTCCCACAATAACCCTCTATGGTCACAGTAGGGTATACGTAATGACAAATTTTCTTCCCAAATGCGTTTTGAGACAGTCTGGCCTACAGTCGCCCGTAGGGGTGGGGTATGGTAACCATTAAGACCACTATGGCCTCACCTAGCTAGCTAGAGATCATCAACGAATACAACCACACAACTGCAAAGGCCTGCCAACAACTTCAGTAACAATCTGCAGCAAGTTTATTTGCCCAATCATCGAAAGGGGTCCCAATTCCATCCCTCATCGCCCCTCACTCTGCGCATATTGCGCCAACAAAGGGTCCGTCCTTATCTTCTCCCGTAGATTTTCCTGAGCGCAAATGATAAGCTCAATACTTCCGTCCGCCAATTTTGGAAGTATAATTTGCGTATGGGGATACAGGCCCATGTTCGGTGTCCTGCATGCCTCAATCTTGCCCAGAACACTACCCCATTCTATACCATACCAGTTAAAATCAGGCCATTTAGTAGAGAATAGGGTAAAGCCCGGTAAATCCAAGAAGCAGGAAGAAATTATTTTGCCGACATCGGGTTGCTTCTTGACAAATTCGACAACATCGGCCGCAAAGCCGCCCTTGAATTTGTAATGAATGTCCATGAGAGCCCCACGAATTGACGACGTAATCTCCGGAAGGCTGTTTGATGAGATTATTGTACTGATAGGTAGTTCAATTTGCCCGTAAGTCAGAAAACATCCCAATGTGGCTGGGTGGACAGGAGGGCTCATCCTGGTGCGGCCGCCAACGCAAGTATGAAGGATAGATGTGTTACTATCACCTGCAGCAGGTGTCTGTGAGAACCGTGCGCCAATTACTGTCTTCCAAGCCAGAGCAGTGAGTGCGTCGGTGGTCGAGACATAACTTGGTGATCCTGTGGGGGGATTTTTTGGTGAAACATCTTGCTTTAGGCGTATGAGAGCCTCCGGGCTGAAGCGGAAGACTTGCCCCCGATATTCCTCGACGTCGAGAGACTCTTGCAGTTTTGCACATGCAGAGTCATCGAGGATCGAGAATTCCGGATGGTCCTTGGCATGTCCCTTATGTCCTTGTGAGGAATAGTTGGGATCGAGCATGGCATTTCTGCCCTCTAGCAACTGCTCGTCGGCTGCCGCTGACGACCCCGACATGTCCCATCCCTCGGCGCGACGACACTCCTCGGCCCAAATTCCAAGAAAAGTATTCACAGTAATCGCGTCAAAAATCCCGTGGTGTAGATTAACATTCAGCAACAGACCCTCATCAAGGAAGTTTGCTTGGGCCAAAATAGCTGGCCAGTTCTTACCGCTCGGCGACCAGATTGGGGTTCGACAGAGGAGTCCCGGTTGAAATGCGGAAAGAGGAAAACGTTGAGCTTTGAGGTCCGCATATGACATTGGGAAAGCACCTTGATTCCTCAAGTCGTTCACCTTGATCAGAATTTTGTTGGAATCTGGTTTCTGCCGCTTCAACGCATTTGCTTGAGCTGATTGAGCGTCTGGCACAAATTCGCTGTCGAAAAGCGGGAAGCGCCTCTTCGTGGCATCAAGGCCAGTGCGAAGGATTCGTGTTACGGCGAGGATGTCGTAAGATTTGGGAAGCTGGAAAGGAAAGATGAAGCGACTCCAGCATCGGGGAGCGATTTGCTCCAAAGGGGTCATCGCCGACAGCGCAGCTCGAACTGGAGACATTGCTAACTTGCAAAAAGTGGACGAATTTAGGAAAATATGAAGACACTCAACTGTAGGGTTTATGGTCAGTCCGACCTTTGGACTAACATCCAGGGATATATAACTCTTCTAGGGTGACCACGCTCTAGGCCCGTGGTGGACAGCAAATCCCGATGGTAGCCATGGAAATCCTTTCCTATACCGATGATAATGTGTCGCGAAGCACTGAGATCCTGAGTTGGGTATACAGCTAAGGGTCCTGTTAGGGCTAGTCAGAAGAGTAGTCTGCAGAGAGATTTGAGACAGCATAAGACACATAGGCTATTGGGAGACTGCATATACGAGGCCCAGAAAGCCTATATGCAAAGGAGGCTGGGAACGGAGCCCAGCCCCCTAGTACTTGTACCTACGAAAGGGGGGTATAAATAAGGAGCCTAGAAGAGGGCAGCGAGGGGAGGGCACAACAATACACACACACCCATCTGATCATATGCAAAGACACCTCTGTGACTACCTTTTATCCAGGGGGTGATTATCGATCCACCACTTTCTACTAAAAATCCACCATAGTGGGTCAATCTGTGGCTACGGCTGTGGCGAGGACCGGCCCCCGCAAAATTTATTTATGTGTACTCCGTACCTTCCCTACGAAGTACAGCCTCCATGGCGTAGTGGTGACACGTCTGGAGCCTCTGCGTCGCAGAGGGGTCGGTTCGAAGCCGGCTGGAGGCACCCCTGGGCGAACAGGGCACACCCGGGTTCCCGCCCGTCAACAGCGAACAGCGTCATGAGAAAACACAATCGGCGTACCAACCACCATCAATGACTAACACAACCACGCTTCAACTTCGACACATCGCGCTTCAGTTGCTGGGAATAGGATGCTGAACACTTGGAGAAATTGACCTTCAAGCAGGTCTGTCATGAAGCGAAAACAGTGGTACGGTTGGCGCAGCGTAAGATGATCTGTGGGGCTTGGGGAGTCAAGGAACAAACGTGTTGAACTGTACTCTAGACAGTGTAAAGGCCTTATAGGGACCTCCCTCCGGGCGAAATAAATCCTACTACTACGAAGTACACAGAAAGTGAGGAAGGAAACTCATATAAGGGGGATCCGACGAACTCGACAAGAAGCCTGAAGCGAACGCCAGCTAGGCATTGAGGGGCCTCATCATGGAGACGCCGGCTGAGGCCGTGAATATGGTGGGGCGAAGCGCGTCGCCTGCGTCGACACCCGCGAAAAGATCGACACGCGTCGTGACTAACAGTATGCATCGGTCTGCTCTTGGGCGACTCTATTAGCCCCGTCGACGATAGAAACTGGTTGGAGAGTAACAGGGTTGGGGGTCCTGTCCTGTAAGGCGTGGATTCGTGCTGCGCTCCTTCCGTAGCGGCGGCGTTGGAGAGTCGGACTAGGGGCGAGGACGGCGTCTGCGCCGGTCGCCGGGGTGAGACACCGATCGGGCGGATCAGTGCCGGGGAGCTGGTTCGGAGCTGAGCCGCACGGGCTAGTGTAGCGAGGTTGGGCGGGGTATGAACACCCAGATCGAAGGGATCTGAGCTGGCATGCGAGCTCGTGGCAGATGCCATGGCCGCTGCCAAAGCCAGCGCGAAGCGCGGCTCAATGGCTTTGAGATGCAGATGTTAAGCAATTTGGTTGAAACTACGCTACTTTCTTAACAATTGCATGCCAAGAAAGTATGATGACAAAGGAAGGTGGAGGATCTGTAAATAGCTTAGTGTCGCGGCCCTCTAGGGTTGGTCCCTCCAGGCGGAATAAATTGCAATGCATTGCATTACTCTGCAGTGTATTGCGCCAACGCGGTGTCCGTCGTTATTTTTTCCATCAGATTTCCCTGCGCGCAAATGATAATCTCCACCCCCCCGCTTGCCAGCTTCGGCAGAATTATCTGCATATGGGGGAGGAGGCCTGTGCTTGGAGTCCTGAGTGCCTCAATTTTACCGAGCATATTGCCCCATTCCATATTGTGCCAGTCAAAATCGGGCCATTTGGTCGATAAGAGATTGAGACCCGGTAAGTCCAAAAGGGAAGTCGGAACTATCGCACCCAAATTAGGTTGTTTCTTAACAAATTCCATGATGTCGCCGGCATAACTGCCGTTGAACTTTTCGTCAATGTCCATAAGAGCCCGGCGGATTGCTGACGTGACATCCGGTAGACTGCTCGGTGAGATTATTTGACGAACTGGTAGTTGAACTTGGCCAAACGTCACGAAACAGCCCAATGTAGCTGGGTGGATTGGAGGTTTCAATCGGGTGCGGCCGCCAACGCAAATGTTGAGGATGGACGTGTCATCGTCCCGGACAGGTGTCCGCGAGAACCGCGCACGCATTACTGATTTCCAAGCCAGAGCTGTGAGAGCGTCTGTCGTAGAAATATAGCCTGGCGCGGAGGGACCGTTTCGTGAAACATCTCGCTTTAGCCTTACAAGAGCGTCCGGAGTGAAGTGAAAGACTTGTCCTCGATAATCTTCCGTATTGAGTCCAGGAACTTGGTTTGCGGGGTCCGTGAGTACCGTATATTCTGGATGATCCTCTGATCGGCCCTCAAGACCATTTGAGGCACAGTCAGAGTCGATCACGGCGTCTCTGTCCTCCAGAAGCCCCTCGTCGGTCGTTGCTGAACCCGACACGGCCCATCCCTCTGCACGACATTCCTCGGCCCAGATCCTGAGAAAGGTGTTGATGGTGAACGCGTCGAAAATCGAGTGATGAAGACAAACGTTTAGCAACAAACCTTCCCCGATGAAGTTTGCTTGGGCCAAAATAGCCGGCCATGGCTTGCCGATTGGTGACCAGATGTGAGTTCGACACAGGGCCCCTGGTTGAAATGCAGAAATAGGAAAACGTTTGGCTTTGAGCTCTGCATATGACATTGGGAAGGCCCGAGGCTCCCTTAAGTCCTTGACCTTAAGAGGAAGAACTTCGTTGGGATCGATTTGTTGCATCTTCAAGGCATTTGCTTGAGCAGATTGAGTGTCTGGGACAACTTCGCAGTTGAAAAGTGGAAAGCGCCGCTTTGTGGCGTCAAGACCAGTGCGAAGGACTCGTGATACAGCAAGAATGTCGTAATTTTTGGGAAGTTGAAAGGGGAAGACGAAGCGACTCCAACATCGGGGAGCGATTTGCTCGAGAGGGGTCAGCAGTGGTACCGCAGCTCGACCTGATGGCATTGCGGCCATGTTCATTATTGAGCCCATCTTGATGGCGGAGATTATCGCCCGGCAGACCGCGCTTCAGTCGCTGAAGGTAGGACGCTGAACACTTGGAGAAACTGACCTTCAAGCAGGCCTGTCATGTCACAGCGAAGGAGGCTGGAAACTGATAAAAAGAAGCGTGGGGCTTTAGGTGAGATGGAACCATGTACAGAAGGTACATAGGTTAGCGTAGTGGCTCTATAGGGGGAACCCTCCGGGCGTAATACAACTAAAAAAATAAAAAATAAAAAGGGGTGTGACAAAGGCCAGCTCCATAAGCCGTCCCGACCAATAGAACTGTCTGCCCAGACTCGACGCTCCCTAAGTTAATAGCTAGCTTTGCAAGCGACATGCATATGTAGCCATGACTGCACTTGTCAGATTCTAGGTGACGTCGGTAGATGGAAAAGACAAGGTGTGAGATAGGAACTTCAGCCCTCTACTAGTGCCAGTTGATGCTCATGTACCTTGAGGAATGAAAGGTTCTTCCTTCCACCTCCTTACCCCGCGATCCTCCACCACCCAACGCACGGACCGCAGCCCAGAGAGCAACTGTCTCAAAACTCCACGAACCAGCCACGTCATGGAGAAAGGACAAGACATGAGCCTCAACGTGGCACCAGTAAAAGTGTTCAAGTTCCAGAATCTTTGGGGCATTACCCCACTAGTGCAGCTGCGTTACAATGCATGTCTTGTCATGCCGCGGGATAGGTCCACTGTGCTTGATGCTTTCTTTGTATGCCACCAGTTAATTGATGGTAAGCTTTGCCTGTTTAGGCAGTGGCAGCCGCCTAGCGCTGGCAGGCAGCCGCAGCCACTTACTTAGGCTTTGATACGACATGCTTGGTGTCATGCAATAATGTAATTGGCTTGTTTCAATAGGTAGTCGACCTGACGAACTGATTGACAAGCAAATCTCACACAAAAACTAATACAGAAAAGGGAAAGTAACTTTATCCCAACGCCGGCCTCCTTCATTGTCTCGCGAAGGAGAGATCAAAAGTGGGCATAAATGTGAATAAAGGGACTTTTCGTAGGTAAATTCTCAGATTGTGGGAATGGTATTAGTAGTAGTAGTAGTAGTAGTAGTATTGATTACCCGTGCCACGCCCCACTTAATCTCGCGTTCGTTCCTCACCAGCTCCATAAGCTGGTGCTGGACACCGCAGTAGCCAGTACACCGCAATAGCCAGATTTTCGATTCCTCCAACTAAAATCGCTTCAGCCACCTCGTTCCCCGCTCAGAATCGCATATTTCCACCCTGGGTAGCCTTCCAGATGCCCTCCATCTACGAGCCTTTTTTGCTGCTTCTTCAAACCATCTCCTGCGCGCGCTGCGTGCCTTCAACTCCGCGGCCTCGACCACCTTTCTAGCCTTAGCGATTTGGTCTTCTTCTTTTTTCTGTACCATTTCACGGCCTTGGGCTACCGTCAAAACCCCTCCGGATTGCAGTTGCGTGTTCTTCATCGCCTTACGTTGTTGTTGGATGCGTTCGGCCATTTTGGTCCTTCCCAGATCTCTTTTGGTCTGCACAAGTTCGGTAGCCAGAGATAGTGATCCCCGAATAAAGCGACCCAAATCACGAGAAAACTCGGGATTTAGATCCTCGTCTTCTTGGAGTACGATCTCGAGTTTATCAGCTACTTTGTTTATTTGCCGAAGAGTCAGTGGCGTCTCGAATGGTGAAGAGTGTGGTTCTAAATTGGGGGGAGGAGTGGGCGTCTTTTTCGTCTGACGAGCCTCCAGCAGCTGGAGTACCGCTTGTGGATTCGGTGGCCAGATTCCCGTTTTTCGGAATGCAGAGCGAATAGTATTTTGTCTGAAGGCTTGTGATCGTACTTGCTGAATGCAGGAAAGAAATTCGAGTTTGGTTATATTGACAAGGCCGTCTCGAACCATAACTTCCAGCGCTTTGGCGTGGTAGTGCTTCAATGGCTGGAATACCACAACATCCAGAGGCTGGAGTAGATGCGTGAGATTCGGGGGCATACCGAATGGAATGATGCCGTGTTCGTCGCAATACTGAATGAATTGCCTTGTGTGGTGGGAGCCATGGCCATCGAGAATTAGCAGACGCTTCGAGCTTCTCGAGGTCTTTGCCGAATGCTTGTCAAAATGTTGAAGCCATTCCAGACTAATTTCGTCGTTTGAGTAGCCGGTCGATGTAGGTCGGATAGCTGTATCGGGATCTAGACCAGGTATCTGATACCATGAGGTCATGTGCATCTGTCCAGATAGGATTAAGAAAGCGGGAATGAAAGCTCCACCAGCCGAGATAGCCTCGATCGCAGTGGCAGACTCCTGTTCTCAGGATAGCAAAATAATGGGCTCTCTTTCGTTTAGTGACGACCAATTGATCTTTGCCAACTCCGATCCGAAATCCGGTCTCGTCCATATTCCAGATATCTTCAGGAGGTATACCCTTCTCTTGGATGACCTTGTGGAGGCTCTGGAAATACTGATTGACGCGGGTGAGGTCTTCGGAGGCTTGACGTTCTGAGTGGAGCTTCTTTTGAAGCTTCTTGAAGTAGCCGTGACGTTTGAGAAAGCGAGAAGTCCACCTGCTACCAATAACGAGATCGGCTTGACCAGATCGCTGATGCAAGATGTGATTTGCCGCATCGGTGACGAACTCTGGGCGTACCGCAAGGTTGATATTGTCAAGGCGATCGATGTAACGACACAAAGCCGCCTCTTCTGGTCGCGATAGCTTCAAATTCGTGGCTGGTCTGCCTGTTTTGGGAGGACGGCCTTCAAGGCGGTATCGCAATCGATTGCGTGGTACGCCGAATTCCCGAGCAACCGTGGCCACCTTCGCACCAGAAAAATGTTCAATATATCGAAGAGCTTCTTGGATACGTGCTTCCATCTCTGCAAGTCAAAGGATTGTGATCTGGTTGAAGTGTAGGTGATTGAAGTTAGACGGTGAAAATTCTGGCTATTGCGGTGTACTGGCTACTGTGGTGTCCAGCACCAGCTTATGGAGCTGGTGAGGAACGAACGCGAGATTAAGTGGGGCGTGGCACGGGTACCGTCTGGGACATCCCTATAAGGGCAAAAGACGTGCTAGGCTAGAGAAGACTAGATACATAGAATATCCCGAGTACCTGGACTAAGGACCGTGTGTAGCACCTAACCACTCCATCTAGCAATTCTGAGGCTCTGAGGCCGGTCGGAAATTCGGGGCCCTTCCCCCGTCAGCGGGTTCCAGGCACGGCAGTGAAGCTGTAATAGTAGTCAGTCTTTGGCCGAGGCCGGGTGACTGAGAAAGCCCACGAAGTCATGGGCCGGCCGCAAGCCCTCGAGGAGGGCCTACGGGGCAGAAAGAAAAGAAAAGAAAAAGGAAGCAGAGAGTGTAGCAATGTTAGTCGGGGATTCGCCCCGATGGCGATTGTCTTCTCCGCAGGAGCGTTCGATCCGGGCCACTTCGTGGTTATGACAGTCGGCGAAGTCCCCGTGCCTGCTCCTCGTAGCAAGCAGGTGGTGGAGGTGTTGTCGATTGGTGTGCAGCCCGGGGACACCCGGGTGAGGCCTTGAGCTCTAGGCTCTTGTAGCTCCTCGGGGCCCCGCGGCCCACCAGTCCAGAGGAAGTCGTGGCCGCTGGGCGGCAGAAAGGGCCGCAAGGCGGCAAAGTTCGGAGCCGCGAGACGGCAGAAGGAGGCAGAGCCGCAAGGCGGCAGAAGGCGAGGCCAGCCAGTAAAGGCGGCAGAGGGTGCGAGGCAGCGCGAGGCGTGCCAGGAAGGGCGAGAAGAAGTCGGGCCGCGAGGCGGCAGAAGAGGTCGGGGCCGCGAGGCGGCAGAAGTCGAGGCCAGCAAGTAAAGGCGGCAGAAGAAGGCGATGCCGCGAGGCGGCAGAAGGCGAGGCAGCGCGAGGCATGCCGTTATTCGAGACCAGCTTCCCAAGAGGAGACGAACTCTCCAAAGTCTGCCTTTGGTGCTTGCTAGAGCCCCGTTAGGGCTAGAGAGGCAGAAGCATGGTCGGGTGACCTGAAAATAATTATCCACTAACAGGCTGCTAACAGCCCGCAGAAGAGAAGAATTTTTACAGGGGAGAGTTGTGTGGGAATGGTAAGGGATTTTCCGATGATCTGCCGGATCTGGTGATCTGCCGGATTGCGGCGACTTCGCACGCTCAACATCAATCGACAATAGCTCAACAACAACGGTGCCAATTGACGTATCCTTTGATTTCCTGAATCATCAGAAGCAGTGAAAGTCTGGCATATATTTAGAACTTTTATCTAGGGGCAATGCGCTGCGGTGCTGACATCAAACCAAGCAACGGCCAAAATAGGATGCCGACAGATTGTGTAAGTCATTTCAGCCAATACAGCAAAAACAGAACATTATTGGCTTTCATCGTAGGCTTTAATCATGTGGGATTCTCCCATTCTATCCATAGTGCAGAACTTGGCTCAGGATACTGCAAAAATGGGGTTGGAAGGGCGAGCTGGATAACTTCATTCTACGCACCCGTAATGAGCCAGATTGAACGTGATTCGACGGTACAAGCATCTTCTGAAAAGAACCTATCTATGCATCTGAATGTAAGGTTTATTTTTAGCTTGAAATTCAGTGCGCGAGGCTCCGCTTTCACACCTGACAAGGAAAGACGTGCACGAAAATTGAGAAATTCGACACCCTACCCTAAAACACGTATAACATGGATGAAATGGGCTTTCTATTCCTTATGAGCATTTGAACGAACAGGGTATTCCTCTTATTATAAGAAAACAAGGCAAAATTGCTCGGCGTATTAAAAAATGGCAACCCATCCTCCCTTACGTTCAAGATGTGCGTCAGTCAAGAGATGGCATCGCTGCCCCATTTCTCATCCACCAAGACAAGCCAGCACAAACTCTGGACTTTTGGTTCGTGAAACGTGAATCAAGTCGTCAATAAATATTTTTAACACGTCAAAAACGAGGTGGACGAATCACAATATTTGAAATGAGCAGCTCACCGGTACGTTCGACCGGTTTACCAGGGTGAAAGCTCGAAACGGTTGTGCTTATCGCCTTTGGTTCCCGATGGCCACTTAACCATTTTAGTATCGAATTTATGGAGTGGTGTGACCGGCACCGAGTGATCGTTGTGGTGTTTCCTCAATCCATTCATCGGCTGCAACCCTTGATGTATCGTTATTCAGCCTCTCTCAACAGCGTATACGCATGATCTTATCCAGTACACAGACAAATCAAAAGGTTCATTGGATTGCTGAAATCGAAGATCTAGACTGTGTTTTGGAACGCATTTCAGGAAGTAGTCGAGAAGTCCTCTGTTGATGCTGGCCGCAACAGCCGAAGGCTGAGCAGCACCCTCGGGAGCCCTCAATATGAGTTTTAAGTGCTTGATATGAGAGTTAAAGTATGCAGAGAACAAGTAGTCACAAGAACCAGCGCAGGCAGACCGGTAAGGCTTCAAAGATGATCTCTTCTGCTGTACAGATTCTAGTGCAGACGAGGTGTTTAGCTCTAAAATTGTGGCTCAAGCTCGCCAAAAATGACAGTGAAAGGACTCCAAAAGAAAGAGGAGGCTCTGAAGAAGGAGGCCTGAAAGCTTCAGCGACAGCAGAAGGCAGCGGAGCAAAAGCTCTCGCTCTAGAGAAGAGGAAGCAATGAGAGGCGGAAATTGGGAGAAAACGACGGATGACGGAGGCCGTGAAGCAAAATAAGGAGATAAATTGGCATTATTAACAAGAGCTGAAGATTTTGAAAGTGGAAAAGCCACAGAAAATGCAGAATGAGCGACGGGTGGCTTCTGAGGGTCGCGAGAGGAGTCAGGATGTTCACGCTGCAAAAATTGTCACTCTTCCGTTCACACCAGAGCGGGCCATAGCATTGCAGGTACCAAACACACTATATAATAACGCAAATAATAAGGCAATGATAACTTCAAACGACATATCCTGTCCTCAAAGGCCCTCTTTAGCTGTTGATAGTGATCGGGAGGCAATGGGTGCATTTCGGGGACTTGCGCGATCGGAGAGTAACAGAAGACGACCTCGATGGCTGGATGACTTCAAAAAGATTGAGTGGCATCTTTGAGCATTATTAACTGCTCTTATAAGATTTTAGAACAATTCAAATAGTATTCGTGAAGTTATTCTCAGTTCTTTGCTGGAATGCAATGAGCCCAAAATCCGGCGAATCGCCAGATCCGGCAGATCACCGGAAAATCCCTTATTACTCGTCCCACAGACCCACGTAAAGTGGGTCCTCACCACCTGTCTGTGTCAACCACCTGGCTGTGTCACTTCACCGCTTCAAGTGTCGAGAAGAAGGTCCGAACGAGTTGAGGTCTCTAGGTCTCTCTAGGTAATACAGCTTGAAACCAGGTAAGAAGGGAAGTCTGCAGACTGTTGTTTCTTCTTCCTAGACCACTGAGGGGTCCGGAGGATCTCCTATTCGAACGGGGACCCTTTGAGGAGTCCGGCATAACTATTACTGGCTCGGGGACCTCGAGAGACTGAACTATCGATTTCATAGCTAGAAGAGCTATTTGATCGGGGAGATGGAGCTGATGTTGCTGACGTAGATGACTTACGTGGCCTTCAGTAAGTGGCAAGAAGTGCCCTCTTCCTGATAGAATGTATACTATACCTGAAAACGGGATATCAACTTGGGAGAAGCGTGGAGGGATATAAAAGGGGCTGCTTGAACGGGGGAGGGAGAAAAAAAAACATCTGATGGGGTGATACTCGACCTTCAAAAAGTCCCTTTATCCACGTTTATGCCCGCTTTTGCTCTCTCCTTCGCGAGAGTTATGAGCCCGGGAGAAACAGAACTGTTTCTGTAACTTCCGGTGGCAAAGTTGCAACCTTGAGAAAGAACCCCTTCCCGCACGCTTCACACCACCTCGGCTTATCTTCGCCACCTTTTCGGCCCCTCTACGGCAGTTGAAGATGTCGAAGACCTCGGCTATGGCTACGACGAAGCGAACGATTCTAACGGAGCCCCAGGACTGGGACCGTTGGGTTAAGGAGATTAGAGCCCGTGTGGATAGAACTATCCACAAGTTGATCTTTCGAGACGGATCAAATGCTCTGGAGCCCCCTAACCGACCTAGCTTCACTGACTTTGCTGAAGAAGCTACCCACTACGTCGACCTTAACTCCATAAATCAGAGAGCTTATTCTGTTGCTACTGCTGACTATGAAAGCAGGCGTAGGGAATACCTTTACGAGACTAAGCTAATCACTGCAGCCCGTACAGCTATTACGGAGTCTATCAGCACTGCTAAACTTACCTCCCTTCGAGAGGGGGATACGCTTCGGCAGTGGCTGCAGAAGCTGGAAGCATCGACTGCTCCTTCACGCGGCTTTATGACTGACCGAATTAGGAAGCAGTATTCTAGTCACCTTCATGCTAGTACTAAGACTAACATACTAGACTGGCTGACTAAGTGGGAAGAGATTATAGAAGAAGCTGACCTTTACTTCCTATCTGAGGCACTAACAGGCCAGTGGCTACGAGATATAGCTAGCGTCATCCGACCTCTTAGCGACGGATACGCTACTATCTTCTACGAAGATAGCCGAAGAATCGATGAAGAAGCAGCAACTGCTCAATATAGGGTCTATCAAGCTCTTCGACCAGACTCTATAGGAAGCACGCCTACTTTGGCAGCAGTACCACCTTCTTCGACTCACTGGACCTTTCAGCTTGTTGCTAGAAAATCAGAGAAATTGCAGAGCAACAGCCGCACCAGCAGAAAGGAGGAATCAAGAGAGGTGCCGGCTTTCTAGCTGATAAAGAAACTGATGAAAACAACCCTTCTGAAGAAAGACCGAAAAAGAAGAGAAAGGGAAGAAACCTGACACAACCAAAAACACTGAGAAAACCGATAAAACCGATAAAACCGATGCCCT